TGTACACTGAAGTGAATCAGCCATACAAATACATACACCCCTCCCTCTTAGACCTCCTTCCCAGCCCACCCACACCCCGCCCCCTAGGGCATCACAGAGCACTGAGCAGCTCCCCACTAGCTAGTTATTTTACACGTGTTAGTGTGCAGGTGTTAATCACAGTCTTCCCACTCATCCCATCCTTTCCTTCCCACCCTGTGTTCACAAGTTGGATTTTAAAATCTGGTTCAGTTCAGTTCAGTCATTCAGTCATGTCCAACTCTTTGCAACCCCATGGACTGCAGCATGCCATGGGGTCCAGCACGCCATGGGGTCATTAAAATCTGGTAGTAACAAGAAAATAGAATTAGTGCTCTGGCATCAGGGTAGAAAAAGAGATCTCTAAAAATTGCTTGCCAAAGGACAATATGCATGTCTGGAATCCAGTATACCTCATCTGCCTTTAATTAACGTTTAAATATAAGAAAAATGTGTAGATGTGTAACATTTTATGATGTTACAGAACTGAGCTCCTTGTACCATCCTAAGAGAGTATTAATTTGGGATATTTTAAGTTTTCATTTTATTTCAGAAAGTAAAAATGGCAAAAAAATTATGTTACTATATATATGAATTCATGTATTTCTTAAAGTTATGACATAGTAATTTAAATAGGTGAGAAAATTAGGCAGAGGCTACCTTACAGTATTCTTAGTCCACAGGCTATTTTTTGCTAAAGAAAACTATTAGAGTGAGAACCTGAAAAGCAAATAGCAACTTTATATGGAGCATAATCTATAAAAATATTGAATCACTATGTTGTACACCTGGAACTAATATTAATATTGTTACATCAAAAAATATTGTTACATCAACTACACATCAATAAAAAATACATTAAATAAACATAAATACATTGAAAAAAGATTGGAAGACTGGTTTCATAACCTGAGAATTTAAAAAGACCATAGGTTATTACTGTATTGGAAACAAAACACTGAAGGGAAAAAAAGGCAAATAGTGACAACCATTGAAGTTCTCATGAGCAAATGCATCTAAGAAGAAAGTCATTGACGAGTTTGCCTAATGAAGTACTCCTGTGGTCTGAAGGAGTATTTTAAATCAGTCATCAGTGTCTCTTCAAGTCTTTTCCTCAAACTGTAATATTAGAGTTCAAATTGCTAAAGCATAAGTGATTAATAACCTCACGTTTATAAGAAAATGTGTAGGTCCTTTAGTCAGAGCATTTTAAACTCTAGAGTGCATGAAGGCTTCTGGGGTTGGGGGATATTGCTGGGTGCAGAGTTGGAGGGCTCAGGACCTTGCCTTGAGAAGCCATGTGCCCAGGCCCATGGTGGCACCAGGAAACCGCAGCCCGTGCCTGTTTGGTGGTGTGCCCAAGGCCCAGCGAGGTGGCTGCCCATCACCACCCATGCCTTCCACCAGCCACCTCTTTGTCCTTCAGCACATGCTCCTTCTCTAAGCAACGGTTTTGCGTACGTGCTCAGTCGTGCCCAACTCTTTGCATCCCCATGGACTGTAGCATGCTAGGCTCCTCGGTCCATGGGATTTACCAGGCAAGAATACTGGAGTGGGTTGCCATTTCCTCCTCTAGGGGATCTTCCTGACCCAGGGATTGACCCCACATCTCCTTCCTCTCCTGAATTAGCAGGTGGATTCTCTACCACTGAGCCACTTGGGAAGCCCAGTTATAAGCTGAGTACTGGTTATTTTGATGATGATTGGTTTTGAAATTCTCAGAAACTCAGGTTGGGGTGCGTAAGTTGTGTGGACTGGGTCATGCTCATCAAAGTTCAGACTTCATCACTGGTCCCCATGTGAGATTTCAGAAATTTCCTTAACGTGAATATACTTCCCAGAGTCTGAACACATTGTCAGAAATTTCAGGTTAGATCTAGATTGAAACGGTCACTTTCAAAATTCTGGGAGACTTGTTTTTTCTTGGTTGACATAATTTTATTTCACTTTACTCAACTCTCCTATAAGCTAGCCACACCAGTGGGACAGAGGCTTCATAACTCAGGCATATCCTGAAGTTCAACCTCTAAGGCACTACTGAAACTCGGAGACAGATTCATATACAAATAGGTCTAACTCTTCAACAGAATTATTGAAAAACTGACAAAATATTCCCTTTCCTTCTTTTAATACGGGCTTCCCTTGTGGCTCAGACAAAAAGAATCTGCCTGCAATGTGGAAGATTTGGGTTCCATCCCTGGGTTGGGAAAATCCCGTGGGGGAGGGCACGGCAATATAATCGATGTTATTTCTGATTACTAATCATACTAGGAACAAGAGAAAACCGTGGGTAAGTATGATAAACTACATTCTATCTAGAGTTCTGTCTTATATCCTCCATGAAATATCTCATGAAGTTAGGACAAAATCAGCTTCTTGAGTCTTAGTTTTCTCCTGTAGAGACTGAAGGAGATGATAAAAAGCCAAAAAATGGGCAATAAAGAGGGCAGAAAACTGGAAGAAGAATTTTTTAAAAACCTAAACTACAAGTGACAGAGATATGCCAATTCTTTCAAACACTGAAAATGTCTTTAAAATTTTAATTCTGTTTCACAATTTCCAGATAAGTGAACAAAGAATAACACCCATTTTCTCTTACTTTAAGTTGGCGATTTTTAAAAAATCACTTTTTATGGGACAGGGAAGTTTTAATGTTTAAGTGCTTGAACAATACTTACAAAGTATGACAAAAACATTTAATGTTTTCTCATATATTTACACTGCTTACGGCTTGATTGGAATAATGACTGTATATACGGAATAGCTGGAAGGTTTCATCGTGTGTGTGTATAATACTGAGCAAAATATTTAACCTTTCTAGGTCTCAGTTCTCCCATCTGCAAATAGGGATGTTTAAAGGGCTTAACAGTCTCTACATTTCCTTCTCGTTTTTGGCATCCACAAATAAGATTTATGAGTCACAATTAGGATGAACAAAATCACATGTTTCCTGTGTGATTTCTCCTCAAAAAAACTCAAGATCTCCTTGTGACATTTTGGTAAGTTAAGTGTTGTTGTTTAAGCAGGACAGTAACTTAAATTTTATACTCTAGTTAGCAGCTTGGATGGACTTGAGTTCCACATCTGGATTAAAAACACATCGCATTCATCCAGCATGTTGTTAATAAAATGGAGATGGGATTTCTCCATTGCAGATCTAGCTTCATGATTTTTTTCACAGTAAGTGGATTAAAAGAAATCTCAGTGTTTGCAACTTCCAAAACAAGTTCTGCATGCTTGTCCCCTTACTTGAGGCAATGAATGGGCTTTCAGTGGCCAGTTATTGACACCTCCAGTAGGGAAAATTTATTTCATTGTATTATCCAAATGTGTAGATAGCCAGATCACCATTTTCTGAAAATGCATTAAATGGAGTGATACAGAAGGCTGGCTGTGGCAGTGAAAAAGATCCTTCAGGGAGACCAAGTGTCAGGTCACAACTCTTTCATAGCTTCACTATAAAAGCCCAGTCTCTAAAAGGGAAGGCTCTCACGATGCAAGAGGAAATAAGTAGGAGCTGCACCAAAGTACATTACATTGTGCCACAGAAAGCATAAATCATGTGTGTATGAAAATCATAAGCCCTAAGCTTTAGAGAGAGTTGTGCAATTGACAATCAAATGGAGCTTAAAAGGAATTATGAGGTTTTCAACTAAAGTCTTGAAATAAAGAAAGTAATATTTTACAGCAAAAAATTGCAAATGTCAAGTTTAAATCATAAGACTTTGCACCATTGAGCTACTAGCTAGTTCTATAGCTTCTTCAATCCTTAACACAGGGAAAGACCAACTTTCATGCTCAATAAAACTTAAGAACTTTAGAAATACATTTAGGAACATAACTCATGTATTTGTGACTTTTTCCCTCCTGAAATGGCTAATTGTAGAAGAAAAATGAGTGGGCATAAGACCTCCTTGGATGGTAACCTATTCCACAACTTGCTTTGGGCTGTTATGAGTTCTTGTGTTTTTAAAATAGGGCTGTCCCCAGTTTGGTCATTTAAAGAAAAACGGGGTCTGGGGAATATGGAAGGCTGTCCTCCTTTCCCCTTCAGTACATCTAGCTCTTGCTCTGGAAAACCCCCTTAGAGCAAAGTAAGCTCCCCTTCAGCCAACCAAGCAGCCGTCCTGTGAAAAGCTGGAGCCCAGCTGCACAATTTGGTCGCTCCTGTCCAAAGCCAGACAGGTGGCAACCCAGATTGAATCTGTTGTTGAGGGAATGATTTGATTCACAAACAGGGTTATTAAATTTTATATGGAGACAGGCGAAAGTCACAAGATCCTGAAGAGAAAGACCTGATTCACATAAATTTATCTTAATAGCTGTGAATTCGGGAGCATCAAGCAGAAAAAAATTAATGGAAAGGCATTTCACCTCCTCTGTCTGCCTGCTCCCCTCCACTCCAGGCAGGTAATATGCCCACACACACACAAATAGATCAACCAGTGCCAGGGCCTCCTCCGGCCCTTCGCAGGAGGCGGCCGACACATTGATCCGAGCCTGTTTTGACATATAAACTCCAATTTGGCCCCAAGTCACTGCGAGTGGACACCGCCCCCGACGGCTCTGACACTAGGTTATTTGTTGTTGCTGTTCGCTGTCCCTGTTTGCACATTAATCCAGTGACAATTAGGTGTCAGCGAGCGTTGTTTCTGCTTAGCTGATAGCCTTGGGCTCTGCGCTTGAAGCCCTAATCAGGAGTGTAAACTCTGCTATATTTCAATTTGGAGAAGCGCTCTTCCGCTAAGAGGCCCCTGGCACTGCGATAAATAAAACGCCTATTTACTCTATTGCCACACTTAGACATCTAATGCACTTACTACCAGCCCCCTAATCATAGCCCACAGTTAAAACCGCCTATAAATCACTCCGTTCTCATCCTGCACATTAGTGAAGCCATTTTCCCCAAACCCCACAATGAGCACTGTTTCCTTTTCTTGTTAGTCAAAAGCTAGATGATTTTTATTAGGTTAAAGACGAGTTCACAGATGGTAAATCGCGTGGAGAGAAATGAGCTGGAGAGTTACACCCAGTCCGCGCGGGACGCGGCGCCAGGGCGGGGGGTGGGACCCCTTCTGGAACCCCGGCGGCGGGACCCCCGAGCGCGGTGGATCCAAGCCCACCGCACATGCACGCCCGCCGGGCGTCGGGGCCGCACAGCTTAGCCCGCCGGACACCCCCAGCTCCCTGCGCCCTGGCGCACCCACTGCAAGCCGCGGCCTGGCCGGGGTGGGGGGACCCCGGGCAGCGTGGGCTCGGCGCGGCGTCCTCCTCCAAGACTGCCAGCACCCCTTAAAAAGGTACAAACCGCCCCATTCCCCTCGATCTCGCCGCGCACGTTTCCCACCGACGCAGCTCAGAGGCGAGAGCCAGGGAGAGGCCCCGCGCGGCGCGGCCCCGGGGGACCGCGCGCCACAAAAGCCCGGCCCGCAGCCTGTGCTCCTCGCCTTCCTTTTCAATTCTCCCCCGATCTCAGGTGGAATTAGGAGGATTAAAGCGCCGAGTAAATGAGGCGAGTGTGCAAAATGACTCCTTTCTGAACCAAACGGCATGCTCCGTGCTGGGGAAATGAGATGCACATTTAAATCTCATCCATCCACCGCCTGCGGCCACCGCCATGTACCTGCCTACTTAGCCCAAGGGTTAATTAATTGAGGCTTCAATGCACTATTGCAAGAGCATTATTGCATTTGATACTCTACATCTGTGATTTAAAACTCTTTCGGTCCCCTGTCAGCGAGGGAGGGTTTTTAACTAGGAAATTAGCATTCAGATAAGGGAACGCTCTATTTGCTTCTGAAAGGAAGGGAATATTAAGGATGCTGGTGCACAAACCGGGCTGTCATATCCTGTCCCATCCTGGAGGAGCGCGAGGGCCCGGCTCCCCTGGGAGCCAGCGACGACTGGGGCCCCGGCCTTGCGCAACGGGCGCTGGCGCGAGGGGCCGGCAGGAGGGGGCCGCGGGGGCCAGCGGGACCCCACTCCTCATGGTCTCCTACCTGCTGGGGCGTGTTGGCCTCTGCAAAGTCCAGTAATGTATTTTCTTCCCCCTTCCGAGGAGCTGATTCTTCTTAAAATGCATTGCCACGTTACTCAAGCGTTGGCTTTCTGGCTTCCACGGGCGCGGGTGTGGGGCTGGGGGCTAAGAACTGGAAGTAACCCAGTTTCTTACGGAAGAATGAGCCATAAACATCGCAGAATTTGAATGACTCTAAAACAAAATCAGGGACAAGACCGTTGTTAGTGATCATTACCCTCACTACCTTATTGAATGTAGGAGCTAAACGCACTTAAACTCACTTTTCACACTTCTTCAGCAATTTTAGCAGAATTTCACTAACTGCGTGTGCGCGCAGGTAACAAACTAAAACAACAAGAATAGAGATCCTGGGTGAGAAGTCAGTTAGGATCCCTCCTAAGTATGCTGTAACTTAGACATGGTTTTCTTGCAAAACGGAGTAATCTTTAAGTTCTGGACTCTCAGACAAGAACTTTGAAACAGAAGGAAAAAAAGAAAGGAAAACAAATCACAACAGAAAACCTTTGTCCCTGGTTAACTATAAGATGAACAACTTGCTGGTGGAAAGGAGAATGTTTCTTTTCTTGAGCTCTTTGTGGCCAGATGAATTTGGAAGACTCGGGACTCCTTCATTAACAAACACTTGGCCAAATACAAGGAACTGTCATTTATTCTCTACTGAAGAACTCTAATTAGGTGAAATAGCATCACCTATAGTGGATTCAGCTGAGGCCCAAGTCAACAATGTGATCTGAACAGTTCTTTGGAGCTTCTATGAATCAGGCAAAGAGAAGTGGATTTGATGATGTCTGTGTGACATCAATCAGGTATTTCTTTGTAAAAATGATCCAATTCTATCTCTGCATACTTCTTACTGCATCATCAGTTACCCCCGGGAGTTTCCTTTGCAGATGCTAATCCTTACCTACTTTGCTCAGATTCTACTTTCTACATCTTCTTCACAGCATTTTTTAAAGAAATCAGGAAAAGCTGGTGATGATCACAAGGAAGAGTAGCTGGGCTGTGCGTTTGCCTCATGGTTTCTTAGCTATTTCCATTCAACCCTTGACTCACAATGCCCATTTATAACTTGCTTTGGTCCATTTTGTTCCTCAGGACCAAGTATGCTAACTTTGTTATGTGCATAACATTCGGAGTGTTTTACAATACATCCAGTCCGCATGACATTATCTCATTGGTGGCAGTCACCTTTCTGCCACCACATGCCGAGAGAACAGATAACTATCCATTACTTTAAACCTGTTTGATATAATCCTTTAGAAGGAGGAAAACTAGAGCTTGCTTTTCTGCCAGCTTTGCACCACATTTTTCCTATATTGCTCACACTGGTTCATTACAGGAAGGCTTTTCCCCCTGACTCCTGGGGGGCCTGCATTGGGTTCTTCCAAATAAAAGAGCACTGCAGGAAGAGTGCTTGCTTTGGAAGACAAGAAACACAAAGTAACTCAATAAGCTCTGAAAATTGATAAAATGAAATGGTGAAATTCTAAATCTACAGACTTGATGGCAACACTTTGGGGACATTCAATGACATCAGTCTCTTGAGATGACTTGCTTTTATAACAGAAGGAGTGCTCTGCTTAGTCGCTCAGCTGTGTCTGACTCTTTGCAACCCCATGGGCTGTAGCCCACCAGGCTCCTCTGTCCATGGGATTCTCCAGGCAAGAATACTAGAGTGGGTAGCCATGCCCTCCTCCAGGGAATCTTCCCAACGCAGGGATCAAACCCAGGTCTCCCGCATTGCAGGTGGATTCTTTACCATCTGAGCTACCAGGGAAGCCCAACAGAGGGAAAGATCTGCATATTTGGAGGGGCTCAGAGGACCAACTGGATGCCACTGGGTGTCTGGGAGGAAACACGGAGCTAGCTGTGTGCAGAATGGTTTGAATCTGATGCACACAATTTGAGCATCTTTTGTAAGGCTGTATCAAGCAAACTTACACCATGAAACAGACTCTGTCCAAAATAAGAATATAATGAAACAGAAACCCAAAGTGACATTCTCGCTGGAAAACCAATACCCAGCAAAAGGTTTCTACAATAAGCAATGTGAATATCTTTGGCTGCAGATATTGGCCATAGGGATTTCTCTAATTCACAAGTCTCCTTGCTACCCCAAGTCCCTCACAGCCATATCTCTCTTCAGGTCCAGCTGGAACTTCTCTTGCTGGTTCCCAAACACAGTGCCCAATGACACCCTCAGCTTTCTGTGCTGTAGGGTCAGAGGGAAGCTGAAACATGTTCCTCTTCCCCCAACACCATTTTGTTCCTGATAGAAGCTGGGACTGTGTGTCCTCTTGTAGCTCCTTTACCAAGCAATGCCCCAAATGGGCTCTGCACAAATGATTTGTCAGATCAGTTGGTGAAATCTCATTATGATCCAAGGGACCATCCCAAATCTTTGGAATGCAGTTTTGTTGTACTGGGGGAAAAAAGCTAAAAAGTGAGCCATAACCTAGGACTGTGAGATTTTAAGTGCATCTGATGCATCTGATGAATGTAGTGAGACTTGACTTGTAGCAGTCCTAAGGGGCAGTGGGGAGTTTGGGGGTGCTTGGTGGGAAAAGGATGGATTGGAAGCCCCTTGGAGTGCCAGATTCTTAGAACCACAGGGAAGGCAGAGCCGCAGACTTCTGCTAGAGCAATGTGATGATAGAAATAAATATTAAAAAGATAGTAGCCTCAGTCTTTCTGTACATAGAAACGCAAGCTTTTTGTTTATAGGGTTTGGGGGTTCTGGCTTTTGTTTCTCATGAAGGAGGCAAAATGATTGGCCCAGCGAGCTGAGGGTGTTGCTGTGGGCCTCATCATGGGTAGGGCTGCTCCGAAGCTGGGACTTGACAAACGGAAGGAAGGTGGCCCTGCCCTCCCAGGAAGTGGTTCTGTGAGCCTCTCCTCTTGAACCTGGGCCCTTGGCTTCCTGCACATGACCAGGGCTGTGCAGCGTGAGATCATGGCTCTCCTGCCAGCAGGGGGACAGGAATGGTCCCCTGCTCCTGCCGCTGGATTGGTAACAGTCACCCATTTCCCCTGTCCAGAGCAGAAAGTCTGGGTGAGGGATCCCAACTCATCTCACCCTCCCAGGGGAAAAAGGGAAATAATGCTAGCATCTGTTCCCTGACTACAGATACATATGGGACAGGTAAACTCCAGGAGGTCAGCTCCTAGAAGATCCATCAGTAAAAATCAGGAGAAAAGAAATGCAAGAGCCACCTCCAAGTCCCCTGGAGTTCAGAGGGAATGAAACGCAAAGGTAACAGATAAGCAAGTATATAGACTTTTCCTGTAAGCAAAGGAACCCCAGGATGAAAGGTTTAAGGAATACTACTTTTTAAATAGGGAGCTTGATTTTGGCTAACACCGATAGAAGGAAGTGTTAAGTGGTTTAAGTGAAGGTGATTTATTTATTTATTTTTAACCTTTGTTGATTTTATTACACTATTGCTTCTGTTGTTTATGTTTTGGTTTTTTGGTCACAAGTCACATGGGATCTAGCTCCCTGACCAGGGATCAAACCCGCACCCTCTGCATTGGAAGGCAGAGTCTTAATTCCTGGACCATCTGGGAAGTCCCAGGAAGGTGATTTTTTCAGAGGGGAAAGGACAGTTTATTTTCTTTAAAAATAACAAAAATGAAGTCCAAGCAGTGGTACACTCTCAGTGGAAAGGGAAAGAGCAGCCCTTCGACTCACGGTTTTCTTTTCCCTGGTAAAGGAAAGCCAGCTCACACGGAAGCGTCTGCACGATAGCCATGCAAAGCAGCCCAGAACGGAAGCAGCGGGCATCTCTGAGGACGTGGGGGGTCTCCAGGTTCTCACTGTCAAGATGATCCGCAAAGAAAGGGTCTCACTAGCCACACCCCCAAAGTTGGCCCTGTGAGCAAGTCTAATAGGACTTTTTTCAGTTTCATAAAATATCTTGATAACTGGAAAGTGCCAGTTAATGGTAACCTGTTCCAACTATGAATTTCACAAAGATTAATATACCCCTTTAGGTTTCTTAAGATTCTATCAGGAGGCCTCCCCTAGTCTAGGGTGTTTTACAATCTCTGTGGGCACGAAGCTCAACTGAAACTACCATTCAACAGCCTAACTGTCATCTTCATCTTCTCCTGGCATAAAAATACATATTTTTTTCCCATAATAAAGATTTTTTATAATAGCAATAAAGTAACTCCAGAGAACATGGTTGTCTTGAGATAGCTTAACTGTGTCTGGTACCTCATAACGCCCTGGGGATACAGCAGGCCCATAATACTCCCTTTCGCTGCCATGTCTTTGCTTAATTAAGGAATAAAGCCAAAAGGTCAAGGCTGGAGAAAAATGTAAATCTTCAAAACTTTTCATTCTTGACCCAAACTCTGTGTCATAAAACCTCAGTTATCTCTGTAACAAGCAGCACACCTACCCAGTGAGTTAGGAGATACCCGAATATACATTACATCTTTAAAATATGCTTTTGACACAATGAAAATAAATTCCTGACCTCCGGGCTTGGAATTATGATTCTGCCTTCTTAGCG